GTGTGTGTGTCTGTGTGTGTGTGTGTGTGTCTGTGTGTGTGTGTGTCTGTGTGTGTGTGTGTGTGTCTGTGTGTGTGTGTGTCTGTGCATGTGTCTGTGTGTGTCTGTGTGTGTCTGTGTGTGTGTCTGTGTGTCTGTGTGTCTGTGTGTCTGTGTGTCTGTGTGTCTGTGTGTCTGTGTGTGCGTGTGTGCGTGTGTGTGCGTGCGTGCGTGCGTGCGTGCGTGCGTGCGTGCGTTCGTGTGTGCGTGTGTGCGTGTGTGCGTGTGTGTGCGTGGGTACGTGGGTGCGTGCATGCATGCGTGCATGCGTGCATGCGTGCGTGTTTGCGTGTGTGCGTGTGCGTGTGCGTGCGCGTGCGCGTGCGCGTGTGCGTGTGCGTGCGCGTGCGCGTGCGCGTGCGCGTGCGCGTGCGTGCGTGCGTGCGTGCGTGCGTGTGTGTGTGTGTGTGTGTGTGTGTGTGTGTGTGTGTGTGTGCTTTTAGAGTGTCTTGTGGGTTCCCTATTGTGACATGGGAAGGTCGACCTGTGACGTGCGGTCTGAAAGGGCGCTTTTCGAGGAGGGGACGAAAAGGGAAAAGAAAACTCATTTGAGGGGGGTTCCCACTTTTGGAGACAATCCCAGTTAAACGCGAACCATCCTTATCGCGGGCAGCATCCGAACCGACTTTCGGAGATCGCAGGTTGGTCCTGGACGTGCACGGCAAAGTGCTGGAGCGCCAAACTTAGTCACCAGGAAGGCACCCAACCGGCAGCAGAGACGCCAAGCAATAATATGTATGCATACATGCATGCATATATACATGCACGAATGAGGGTGCCCTTTTTGAGGGTATCCTTTTGAAAGGGAATGCACATGTTTGGAGTTATCCTATTTAGGGACAGATGCCCATATGTGTATCTACACATACCAGCACCGTTGAGCCCCCTGTGTTGCCCCCCATCCCCTCCCTGTGCGGGATGCGTGCGGAACGGGGTGGGGGGGTTGGTTGTAGTACAGTTTGTTTAGGGTTGATTTAGTGTGAAGGGAAGGTTTAGGGTTGATTTAGGCTTGGCTTGGGAAATTGTAGGGTTGTGTTGGGATGGATTTTGGGATGGATTTTGGGAACACCCTGCTATGTGGAGTGGTTTAGGTTAGTTTTAGGGCGTGCTTGCCTTTGTTTTTGTCAATCGACCTGACACGGGTTTTGCATGTTGCCGTGTTAGCGGTTGCCAAAAGATGGTCGCTCTGGCTTGGAAGGGGATCCTAGAGGCCAAGTGTCATGAAGTCCGCTTTTCGGAATTTGAAGGGAAACCAAAGACACACCACCCATTTTAAGGAGGCCAGTTCGTACGAGGCTGGCGTTAAGATACCCTCAATTGTCTAATTTGGGTGGGGGAAACAGGGGGTGGACTTGAGGGGTCTTGGGGTTTCTTGGGCTGAATCTTGGTGCATGCGTTTCAGCAGCTGCTAGGACCTCCTCTGACTTGACTTTCCTCTGATAGAGGTCCTTCAAGATCACGTGTTGAGTTGGCCAACTTCGGCATGATACTCAAAGGAGACATGTAAGAAATCGTGTTCGCTCGATGCAGGTTCTGCATGTTTCGATCTGAGGTCAAATCAAAGGAATACTGCGTGCATTATGTCCCATTTTGAGGCAGACCCATGTTGTGTGTGTGTGTGTGTGTGTCTGGCCGCAGGGGTGGCGCGCTCCGACGCTCCGAGGCACTGGCCAAAGCAATGATTTGACGCCAAAATAGAAAAAAGTGCCAGACTGCAGGGAAGTAGCAGGTTCACATGAAAAGGGGCCTTCCAGCTGGGAATTCTCTTGCCCCCCACCCTGCCGCGTCACTTGCTACTATCCCGTGGGGGTTGCTATTCTCTATGGAGCCTTGTAAGATCGCCTGCTTCTTGCGAAGGCAGACAGCGCAGAGAGCGATACACAGAGCCAAGATCACCCCTTACACAAAGAGACAGTGCATAGGCACATAGATAGATAGCTGCATAGGGGATAACCCCTATTATTGGAGTCATGCATATATATATATAATCACATTTTTCATATCGTACCTGCCGCAAGATTCCTCCCGGATGACTCCGGCCGCGTTAGTCGCAATTTGGAGTTCTTGGGCGCTACCGTGGCAGACAAGGCTTTTGTTACAGAGTACAACCGTTTGCCGGCCCGATCTATAAAAGAACTCCTGCAAATAATCCTTGAACTCAAGGGACGGCAGGTCATGCGGGCTTATGCAAATTGCCATATGGCTCGTACAATCACCACAAAAGTCCTATAACGTCAAACCTGACCAGAGACAACGAACTCTTCACACCCTTCTTTTTTTTCACACTAGCTTGGAACCAACAAACGGCCACCCTACAAATGCTGCCAAGAAGAACACCGCCTACCAACTTGCAATGCCAAACGCACTATCGGACAGGAACCTGCAAACCACACAAAAACCAAATTAAACCACAGGCACAACCCACGATATGAATAAATACAGAACCTACAAGCCAGGCGACCGCTACATTCGGCAACTAGTAGAGAAAGGCAGCAGAAACACATTCCGGCAAAGATTCTCAAAGTTGTGGTTGCTTGAAATGTAACTCAATACATCCTGAAAGTATACAAAATATTATGTACATGTGTACTCTAAACACTATATTTCATGTGTGTTGTAGTTTGTTCGTGGTTTGTTGTGGTTGTTGGTCAATGTTTGTGCATGTACACAAGCGATGACAATGCTTTGCGTTATGTATAACATCTGTATAAGCATGGCTAGACAGGAGAGATACACAGGCATGCACCTTCCCCCATGCAATCCAGCCACCTCTCAATGTCAACCATCATGCAGATACATGTAGAACACTCATAATGAGCAGAGCTCGTGATACTAAGCAGATACCAGTTATCAGGCATACATAGCAGCATCACCGGGGTCTTTTATGATCTTCATTGCCCTACGGCCACTTGTTGCATTGAGCCACTCAACTATGGCCATTGAGCCTCGAATGCCGATGACATAAGTTGCAAAAGTCAATGTAACTCACATACATTTTGGTACGGTACCGCATTTCATGAAAACAAATGAGTTTGACAAACACAACTAGAGCAGACCAACCGCACAAAAAAACAATTCGCGGACCGCGGAACCCATATATGTTTCGTCCTTCAACATGAAAAAGTACACAAACACATGAACCCCAAATCAATTAATAATTAAACAGCATATCATTAACAACGTTCAAATATAAAGCGGTATTCTCCGCAAAAGCTCCCAACATTTCATGATGATCTAGCAAGCATTTTCAAATATATGTAAAGTCAAATATCAAATACCCAGACATTTTCAATGTTCAATGCTGTTTATGAAAATTCCTTCACAACTTATTTGCATATGTAAATATATGGCTGTGGGTCAAAACCAATGGGATCCCATTTTGGGGTAGGTGCACCACCCATTTTAGTTTATTTTAGTGGGGATTGGGATGTTCACTGGGGATACGGGATTTTGACCCATGGCCATATATATCTTTGTACATTGGAATTTAATTTTAATTTATTGATATTGGTACACTGAAGGTGCTTGTCTATGAGTGTGCTCGGTATTGCAAGTTGGTTGATGGTGATGAGAATCTATGTTGTTGCCTGGAGCACTTCAGTTGGAAAGGTAGCAGCTCCCACTAATGCGTACGCGATTGGTTTTAAGAATTGATGATTATGCCTTGTTGCTTGGGATTTGAATATGCTGTTAATTTTTATATATATATATATACATATATGATTGTACATCGTGAACTATACATACATATGTGTGTATATATCTACAGCTGATTGTATGTTTGTCTATTGCGTGAATCAATGATTACCCGCTGTGTGAGGGAGTTGGGGCTAGGACGTGCTCGCTGTGAGTGTGACTGAGGGAGTGTGTGTGTGTGTGTGTGTTTGCTGCGCAGGCGTACTTTGGTTGAGAACTTCCAACAATTCATGGATTCAGGTTCCAAGAACAGATCCAGCTTGTGACAGAGCCGAAGCTTGCAGCAGTTGCGGAGACCTTGTGGATCAAAGGCTTCACCTTTTGGCCGGCCACATGGGCCGCTTGTCAAGTGAGCCATCCATTTCTGCAGGTGGGTTGAATTTTTCCCAACTTGTCGGTGTAATTCCTCTCGGTTATGCAGTCACGCAAGGCTTTGGGTTCGTTTGCTTGCTCTGGTTTTGGGTGCAGTTGAGCCATGCAATCTGGAGGCCGGCTGGGAGTCGCTGTCCGATGAGCCAATGAGCAGAGAATGGCAACAAACCTATCAAATGATCACATGGGAGGTTGTCCTGCACCAGCTGTTTGTTGATTCAGATTGGGGGTTGATCAAAATGTCCCATGAACATGGGATGACCATTGGGGGAAGATTCGATTTGTCCCCCAAATGCGAATTATTGCCGTACCCATTTGTTTGAACACTAGTATTCTCTGATGTGTGTTTGTCTGCTGCCTTTACCGCTCTCTCTTGAAGCACATGGCTTTCAACTTGTTGCGAAGCGTTGCTTCCCCACCAGCAAAGCTTAACTTGTTGCAGAGATTCAACGACCAACCCGGTTCTGTACAAGTTGTGGGAGGATGTATTTATTAGATCCGTAAATTCATGTGCATGGCTGTGCGGATTACAAAACGGAGACAGTCCAAGCTGGCCGTGTGCAACACACTCAGCTCGCAAAAGAGTCTGAGAGGCCTGGACTGGTCATGTGTCCTTAGGGGTTGTTGGTTGCCATAGCTTTCGTTTAAAGGAAACAGATTTCCTCAACATCGTGACCCATTTCGGGATGCCTGACATCTATGGTTTAATTGGCATCGTTCAGATCACAAACGACCAGATCCAATGCCTCGCTTTCTCCTAGCGCTGGGCGTCATGCCTTTGAACGCCAATGTGATCAGGTACTTGGGTGTGTTCGCCTCCCGGTTTTGCAAGCTCCGGCTTCCACAAAAGCAAGCACGACCTTCGCGCACTTTGGGTTTGCAACAAGTGGCTCAAGTGCCATCCGTGCCAACTCCCACCTTCGCTATGACTCGTGGTCTGACCTCTCTGGCCTTGGGCCTCGTCTCTGGCATCTCTTTGCTGGTGTCTCCAGTGATGATCTTCCGCTCGGAGTGGGTGGTGCGGAAGACCGGCGCGCTGGCGCCCCATGAGCAGCTGCATCCCATTTCCAAGCGCTTCCTGGTCGCCTTCGAGATGACCGCGTTCAGCCTCGCCGCCTTGGGCGCCAGAGCTTGCGCCCTTGGCACTGCGAGTGAGCGCGTCTTCTGGGCGAAGATGTTGGCAGTCCCTTGCGCCTCGCTCTGCACGAGCATCAGCATCTTTGGATATGAGAAAGGCCACCAGTTTCATGGGAAGAATGCCGGTGCGAAGGCCTTTGGTGCGATGACGACTCTCCTGTTCCTGGGAACTGTGGCGTATCCGGAACGTGAGGCGTGATTTCTGGGAGTAGTTCTCTCTCCAAATGGCTTCCTATGCCATGGATTAGCATGCGAAAGCGCTTGCGTTGCAAAACTGCATCGATTGATTTCAGTCTGAAACGTTGATGGCAGTCTTGCCAGCTGCTTGAGGTAAAAGGATTGTGAAGTCCAAGGAGCTTGTGGGTCAATGATTTTTTCTTTTGTTTCTTGGGGGGGGGGAGTAGGTTTAGGGTTTAGGAGCATGCTGCATGTCTCATGTTGTTAAGACTTATTCCCGGGGAGCGGGCGAGCCGTAGACATTCCCAGGTATCAGGCTTGAGCTTGCTGCACGACCAATGCAGACCTATCCACCCGATGGGCATTGCACGTCTTTGTCAAACAGAAGGGTATGTTGAATGGCAGGCTACTGATGAAACGAATTTAATTGTTCAAGGCTGTTTAGCAAGGGATGCCTTTTTGTTGGCCCCATTTGAACTGTTGTAACCCTGTTTGAAACAATGTTGTGACTCAGCACGAAGTGCTTTACGCAGAGCACCTTGGCCAAAGCAGCTATCAGACCCTCAAAGACACATCCAGCCTTGGCTTCTCCCTGTGTTTAACGCTTTGATATGTGAGGTGTTGGTCAAAGCTGCAGGCGCTTGTCCAAGAGATTCATGGGCTCATCAGAACCCCCGTAGTCATTTACTTTGCCCATTGACTCCGACCTTTGCGTTTTGGACTTGCTAATTCCTTCCAGGGACCCTTCTTTCCAGAAAACCGCCACAAATCCTGAGAAGCGACTGGTTTCCGCGGACGACGGTTGAAAAGAATAGGGGATCAACCGTTCGCCGGGGATAGCAATTGACTTGGGGATGTCGACTCGACACCCAAAAGATGGTTAGCCAAGCGCTTGGGCGAACGCCACCTGACAATCAAACGCCCATGGCCACTGGGCTTGGGGCACCCCCAGCCACGTCCCTAGCTGAGGGAGAGAGAAGCCAGGAACGTGAAGAATGCTAGGGCACACTCCCATTCCCATCAGGTGCGGTAAGAGATTGCACTTGATTGTTTGCATGCTTTTGGGAGACCTCACAAACACCTGGTGTTGATTGTAGTGTTGATCCGACTTTGTGGCTGAGCCTCACAGGGACCATCAAAAGTTGGCCCCTTGTAGAAGCTACCCACATTTTTTGTTGGTCAAAGGGAGCCCAAGGACACCAGCCAACCAACACATTGTTTTGGGGTTTGTCCATTTTGAGGCAAACCCACTCAACTCAGGGAAGAGGGACGGCGAGAACATGTTTTTTTTTGCGGGGAATCAACCCATAGACCACTCCATCATGTATCATGATGCTGCTTTCGTTTTTGCTTGACGGCCTTGGTTAGTGCAGGTCTCTTGAGCTTGAGGTTAGGTTCCGAAAACCACAACTTCCTGTCGTCACTTGGCAAGGCGTGTCTTCCATGCTAAAAAGGGTCTCTGGTTTGTGGGGCTCAGGCAGAAGGGATGCATCCCACTGCAGGCGATGCATTCAGTGGTGCTGTCCAAAGAACTGGGTGTGTCCCATAGTGAGGTTCGTGCTTCTTGGAAAGATCCTGTGTGGGGGTTGATCAAAAGGTCCGGTAAAAATGCACATTGGATGACCATCCTGGAAACCTTCAAAGAAGATTTGACTTCCACTAAACGGGAACAGTTACCTATGGCCATTTGGGGGCCGAAGGGAATATTGATCAACCGCCAGGTGCGGCTCGACGGCCAAGAAATTGCCGAGGAGATCCCATTCACGCTGTTGGCGGGCTGCATCTTTGTATTTTCATCGGGTTGGTTCAGACAAAAAATAGCTGGGATGCCGCGGAAGCAGGGATGTCGACATATTGGTCGGGTAATATTAGACACGGTTTCCTTTGCATCCTCGCACATCCCCGCTTCCCCGGTATGCCCGCTAATTTGTTTTCCCAATTGGTACGCGTTTGGCCTTGGGATATGGGAGTTTCCGCAATAGCCATACATCTACCAAGGGGCATAGATGGGTACAGAAGCTGTCCAAACGTGGTAGGCATCATTGGGGGGCTATATAGGGGCCAAAGAAGCCTTTCTGACTAAACGGTGTTTTCCCATTTCAGAGGTTTCTTTGAGCATTTCTTTAAAACTAACCGGGGGTTCCCATTTTGGGACAGACCCAAATTGTGGGCACGTAGGAAGGGAAGATAAAATTAGCTTTGCCGCCTGTCCATGATCAAGGCCCCGCTATTGACCCCAGTTCTTCATGCTTTACTGTTGGAATAGCACCCATGCTTGAGATAACATGTGCATTTGAGGGGAGCTTGCTGCATCTTTGTTGGCCCTCCCATTCTATGTTAATCAGGTAGGCCTGGGTAATGCACATGGTACAAACGCGTGGCTCATTATTCTTGCTCTCAACATGCCTTCTTGCTGGTCGCCCAGGCATTTCTTGGCGTTCTATAACGTTTGGGGCTTGAGATGGGAATCCGGTGAAGTATCCTACCCCCCCCAGTACAGCAAAGGCGGCTCGGGACCCCCATACCTTGACGATGACTGACAGGGTGGGGCCAACCTATAGGTTGACATTAGGGGTGCCCTGTTGATTGATTCGGGGGGTGTTGTGCGTGTTTGTAGCCCCCTTGTTGATTAGTAGGTGATCCCAGATTGAAGGCGCTCCAAAAAAATTGCGGGCGGTAACCCCCCCCTTAAATTTAATGAATTCAAAAGGAGGTTAATTATTTAAACGATGGGGGGTTACACTGTATATAGTCCAAATAGCGAATTGATCCAATTCTGACTGAACCACGGCACAGGAGCTTCAGGAGCTATGAATAGAAGATAGAGACTGTGTCGAAACCCGCATTGAGTGAATTTTCAGACGATATTGGGACGGAATTATTATATTTAAAAAAAATGTGATTTATAAATATTATTTTTTGTGGAATGAGGGGTTATTTTGTGGGTATTGATATTTTTTAAAGAAACAAAAAAAATGAAAGGAAAGAAAAATAGAAAGAAAGGGAAATAGATAGGTAAATAAATAAAAATAATGATAGACATAATTAGAACCGAAAAGAAAAATAGAACGAAAGGAGGATGGAATTTGAAAGGAAGAAATGAGATATATGGTAATATAGAATAATGTTATTTTTATGAATCGATTTATAGAAATAAATATAGATAGAAAGATAAATATATTACTAAATAGATAGATATAAATATATGAAATAGATAGAAAAAAAAAAAAAAAAAAAAAACTAGAAATAAACGATAGATTTGGATATATAGAAATAAACCGAGATATCCCGAGATAATCCGAGATTTGGAGAAAGATATAAATAGATAGATAGGAATAGAGAGGCGCAAATATATATAAAAAAAAAAAAAACAGATTAGGATATATAGAGATATATAAAGATAAATAAAGAAAAACAGATTACAAAATAGATAGATACGAAGATATGGAAATAGATTGGGATATTCGGCACGAAATTTTCGAAACATTTCGATTCATATAGATTTCTAATTTGGTTCGGTATTGTTTTCGGTAAGTCGCTATATTTTGAAGACATTTACAAGGGTAACGCCAAAAAAACCTAAGAATCGCGTTGTTGGAAGTAACCCAAAATACATATTTACTTTATAAATTATTTTATTATTTAAAATATATTTTTATTATTTATGATTTGATTTATAGATTTATATATTTTTGAAAGATGGAAATTAAAGATATATTATATTTTATAGGATTATAGATTTGTAGATTTTTTTCTCATTGTAAGGCATGGATTTGTTCAAATGATTATAGAGGATAATATCTTGATATTATAGATTATCTTTCGAATTGTTGAAAGCAAAAATTTTTGTCTTTCATAGAATGAAACACATTGTTCTTCGGGAAAGACAATTTGCAGGACGGAGGATGGGAAATACCCATTTTTCTGCAAAATAATGATATTTTTCTTTTGAAGGGGACATGAATTTGGAAATAATATTTCGTATTTCTCCTAATTCTAAAGATTTCCGTCCTGCCACGAACATGGTGCTTGCCACGAATGGGAAAGACATCTAGTGTTTCTTCTCGGTCTCAACCTCTTTGTATTTGTCGGCATCCTTCTCTATAACCATTTTGTATTTCTTTTCCTTCTTAATCTCCTTATTTTTCTTGTTATCCTTCAAGATTTCATTCTCTTGCAACCTCTTTGTATTTCTATTCCTTCTCGATTTCCTTGTTTTTCTTCATATCTTTCCAAATGGTTTTTTCTATAAATTCCTTATATTTCTTTTCCTTTCCAATTTCCTTCATTTTTTTAATATCCTTTGAGATATTCATTTTTTTAGCCACCTGCTTCGAAATTTCCTTCTATACAACCTCCTTATATTAGAACAAGGAATAAACACATAGCCATAATAAAACAGAGAAATATAAAATAGCTAAAGAACAATTAAATAACAACAACAAGATATCAAATACCAAATATCTTTCAACAACATCCAAATACCAAAATCAAAAAATTTCCCTTATCCATGTTATAAGAAAAATAAAAATATATATATATAATAAAAATAAATAATACTAATAAATTAATTTTTTTAAAAAATTATTTATATAAAATAATAAATTAATTTATATATTTAATATTGTTTATATAACAAATTATTCTATCATCGTAAAAATAAAACAATAAATTTTTGTAATACAAACAAAATCCTACAATTCTATATAAAACACATATTCAAATTAAAATATATATCAATTTCTATACAAAAAAAACAATAAAAACAAATATAATTTAAATAAGTATTATTATAATTTTATAATTATATATTTAATCTAAATACAATATATATTATTTTAATTATCATTTTAATTATCGGTTTTAATTATTAATAATGTGAATTTAATAAATATCCAATTATTCTAATTCATAATTATAATTATTAAATTTCACATTAATATAAATATATTTTAGAAATATATATTTCAAATATGTTTTTGTTTTGCAAATATTTAATTATAATAATTATATAAATATCTATTATATTTATTAATATATTTCTTTTTTTAACCAAATATTATTTCCAAAATTCCATAATTAAACACCAGTTTCAATCAAATATATGGAAACGAAGAGACAGCGATAGAAAGAGAGAGAGAGAAAGCGAGAGAGAGAG